AAGGTCATCGTGTTAGGTGTGGCATTGAATGACCGAGAGCCTACTCCTTCATCGCAACTTTGACCTTGGCCGAGTTGCTATTGGCATCTCCAACCCAGGTCACTGCCGTCTGTCGGTGCATGTGAGGTGTGCGTCGAGATCTTAGCCTCCAAGTGGAATAGAGTGTCCGATCTACCTCTAGCAAGCTTCGGGTGGCCTGATCCGTGACAGGTTGGCCGGTTCCTTTTTTTGTGTTGGTTTTCGGTGAATATGACAGTGATACGCGATTGATCCAAGCATGTGGAGTTATGTGTGTGTTAATCTGTGTGTGAACTGATAGAACATTCAGTTTTGATTCCCTGTTGTTGCTTGAAATTGCCATCCTCCCTATTATCCGTCAAGGCCACTCCCTTCACTAGTGGAGGCAGGGAAATGTAGTAACCCAATTCACGAAAAATCATTCTCGTTCCTCGTGGAAATATTTCCTGTGCAAACACCACCGTGTTGTCCTTTTTGTTTTTTTTTCCCCCTTCTGGTTCAGTGCTCTATTTCCTGAAATGGTCATCGTTCCTGTTATCGGTCAAGGCCACTCCCTTTATCGATGGAAGCAGGGAAATGTAGTAACCCATTTGAGGAAAAAGGTAGTCAGCCACCACTGTGTTGCCTTTTTCCCCCCTTCTATTTCAGTACTCTGTTTGTTGTGATTAATTATTTGATTGATTATTTAAGGTTAAATCATCTTCAGGCTTCTATGTACTCTTTTTATAATATTTATAGAAATTTAACAGAAAGAATTGTTAAGTTCTTTGCTATATGAATTTTGGAGCTTCAGGTTAATGTTATTGTTTGAATCATAAGGAGTATTTGCGTTTTATAAAGCACTGATTCGTATTTAGCACAAAATAACTATTTTAATAAATCCTGTTGATCATCTAGTGTGGAAATGGCTTTATTTATAACTTCTTTTTCCAAATTCAAAGTCATTTTAAATTTAAGATTAATTTCTGTAAAGCCCTTAAAACTAAAACTTCCTTACCTAACAAGATAACTAGTGGTGGATGGCAATGATATGCTTAAACTTATAATTTTTACTTGAATTCTCGTCTGTACTTTGGATAGATTTTTAATAAGAAAGTGATAGTTCTAATGATTATTAAGTTCAACGATCATTAAAGATGAGTAAGCCTAAAATCAATTGCCTAGATGGTAAATATAAGGTTAGAAGAACTATAGGTGAGAAATCCTTTAGAAGAGCTATAGATGAGGGAACATTTGCAATAGAGTGAAATAGGAATTATGAAATTCAATGGGAGAGATAGAGATTTTATATAATTTAAATAGATAAAAAGAATTTTAACAATTATCATCAATGTAAATCATCAATTGATATTAATATAAATTTATCAATATCATATATAAAATGAAAACCATAGTTGATGTTGTATATTTACGGGTATCATTCATTTATTCCAAATTTTTCAGTCAACTTTTTTTCTTAGAAAAATATCTTAAAAGGACATTTAAATAACTCAAATTTTGATTTCAATTACTAAATTTATGAAACTCCTACTTAGGTCACATCATTTAGAAAGAGATTTTCAAATTGTATGAAATGACTTTAATGCTAGTTTCATTAGAAACAAAAACAAAATTTTAAATTAACACTTTTTTGTCTTGGGATTTCTTCTGAATTTTAGGTGAGAAGTCTATGCAAATAACATATATCTTTGTTTGGATAGAACTTATTTCTTACATAATGTAACTTCAACTTGAACGTTGTTTGTGCTTTGTTTGCTTATGTTAGTCTTGTCTCTATTATTTTCCTTCTAGAAATGGATAATGATAAAGGAAAAGTGACATGGGATCCTTATAGGACAAAAATTCTAATCAATGCTTGTGTCGAGCAAATAGTGCACAAGGAACGCCAAGGATCATAGATCCTACATTTCGTGGAACTCATACAAAAATTGATAATGACCTAAGTTATTATCCATTTTTTAAGGACATAATTGGAGCAATTGATGACGCTCATATACCACGTGTTGTCCCTGCTACAAAACGAGACAAATTTATTGGCAAAAAAGAAAATCCATCACAAAATATCATGGCTATATGTGATTAGGATATGTGTTTTACTTTTGTCTTGGTAGGATGGGAGGGATCCGCACATGATGCTTGTATATTTGACGGTGTTATTACAAATTCATCTCTAAATTTCCCTTATCTACCTCTAGGTATATGTTTATATGTTCCAATCATGCATATTTTTAGTTATTTCATATTTTTATTCATTTCACAATGTCTCAGATTGTTTCATGAATCATTAGGAAAATATTACTTAGTTGATGCGGGGTATCCAACACCAAATAAATATTTAGGTCCATACAGATTTGAGCATTACCACCTTCTGAGCTTTGACGACAAGTAGGATTCCGAAATAGTAACGAAACCTTCAATTATTATCATTCCAGTTTAAGGTGCACAATAGAAAGAACATTTGGTGTTTAGAAGAATAGATTTCAAATCTTACAAAATATACGTGTTTACGACTTCCAAACATAAGTGCACATGGTTTGTGTAACAATGGCCATTCATAATCTTATAAGGAGACATTCAAGCTCGGACTTCTTTTTTCAACAAGCTAAAAATGATAATATAGTTGACGAACATGATCAGGCTAAAGCTAGTCAACCATCGTCTTCAAATGTTACATCACAGTCTTCATCACATATGAATCGCATCCGTGATGTAATTAGAGACCAAATTATCTATAGCTTATCAGTTAATTAATTATGTAATATTATTTCATTTCACTTTGTTGCAATATTGCAAATGGGAGTTCAAAACATTTTTATCCATTCAAATTATGTCTCACTTTATATTTGCAATATTTTTTTCATTTCTCTGATGTTTTCAAATTTAATTCATTCAATAAATTTCACTTCTTCATATTAAATTAATTTAAATTCATTGCATTATGTGAATTTATTTTTTATCATGTTTCACTTTATATTTAAAATATTTCTTATGATTTCTCTAAATTTTTCAATTTTAATTCACTCATTAAATATCACTTCTTCATTATATTATCTCAATTCATTTTTTTTCACGTTTCACTTTCTATTTAAAATATTTTTTATGATTTTTCTAAAGTTTTAAAATTTAATTCACTCATTAAATTTGACTTCTTCATATTAAATTATTTTAATTTCATTATATTATGTGAAATCATTTTTTTAATCATGTTTTATTATCCATTAAAACTCATACTCATTTTGATCATTTTACAACTAAACTTACTTTTATTCAACCATTATCCAAATAACTTTTTACCAATCTCATATTTGCAAAATAACTTTTCTAAACTCCAATCGAAACACAATTTAGCTTTTACCTTAACTTCACTTTTCCATAAGCTACTTTTCCAATTACTAATCCAAACAGACTTATAATCATCGTCCAATACAATATTTCATTTAGAAGAAAATTGATGTTCTTGGTCATACTTTCATTCCTAGTTGTCTGCGCGCATTATTAAAGGGGTGTTTAGCTGAAAACCAGATCAATTATTTTAAAAGTGATTTTACAATATAAAAAGTAAGTATGTGAGAAGATCTCTCTCTCAATTTAGGTAAAGTGCTTTCAGAGTTACCAAATACCCTTACGTTAGATATGCAATTCTGGTGTTTTTTTTAGTAAATCAACAAACAGTAAAAATTGTTGACATCCAACATTTATCATTTGATTCATAGACTACTTTTATGAATGTTCTCAAGGACATCATAAGGATATTGTTGAGGACCTTAGTTTCTTTAAGTTCTTTTGCTTCTTTCTCATGTAGAAGATGTTAGTATTATTGTAGTTTTAGAGATGTTTTGTGTTTTTCCTCAATTTATTGGAAGTTTGTAGTTGTTGTTATTCCTTAATATATTTTTGCCTTTTGCTCCAAAAAAAAAAAGTTTCAAGCTGGCTACAATCTCATTCAATTATTGTAACACTATGTTTTAAAATATGTAAAAAAAAATTAAAATAAAATGAGAGTCAATTTTGTTCAGGGTACACGACAAAGTTGTTGGCCCCTACTAATAAATGATATAACCTCTTGAATAAATTTGATGTTACATACCACTTTATCTTCTTATTTCACAATTTAAAAATTTAATGAATGGCCTCATAAATTTTAAAAATGTTTCAGGTCAATAGCGCAACATAAGCAAAAGATCATAAATTTTAAATTAACTTTAAATAAGACATTAAAATGGTTAGTTCATTTAAATTTGATTATTTTGGTAATAAAATGACACGTTATGCTGTAATGAGTATAAACTGGTTAGGGAGTTAACTAACATTCTAAAGTTCATATACTCGTACAAGGTACTTGTAGAAGAAAAAATGTAGATAAGAGTTGCCATCAATAAATCATTAAATTTAGACGACACAATTATTGGATGGAACTGAAAAACTAATAAAAAAGCTTCTAGGATCAAAGCAAACCAACAAGATTTCCTGGTTAGCCAAATGCATAAGAGGGTATTTTTTTCAAGGGGCCACTTGGTATACAGAATATGGAATAAAAATGGATCAAAGGAAGGAAGTGATTTTTTATATGTGAAAATTGTTTGTTCTATTTTGATGCAAGAAAAAGGGAACTTCTCCAATCCAAAAAAGAAAAAAAAAGTTCCATCCCATGGACCAGGGGCGAAAATACTTTAGCTATTTTGGTAAGTGTATAATATATTGTTACTGTGTAATTAGTTGGTTGATTGTGTATTTAAACTTATATTAGAAATTAAAATCCCCCCGCCCCCCCCCCCAAAAAAAAAAAAAAGAAATTGATACAGGGAGATAAAAATATAAACACAAATCTGTGGATGAGCTCTTTTATAGGAAGGACAAAAACATATGTGGAAATTGTGAAATGAGTTGGCCTTTCTCCTTTCCTTTTCTGTTTTTCATTCTCTTTATTCTCTTTCTACCCCTTGTTTTTCAAATTTCTCAGCAAATAAGAAAATTGCGTAATATAAAAAGTAAAATTATATATGCTTCTCTATTATTCAATAAAGAAAATGCTCATAACACAATATGTAAATGACAGAACAAAACCTAATGTACAAACAATCAATCCACTAATCTGAAAAGTAATATGGATCCAGTCTTAGGAACCAAATAGTGTGTTAGGGGTTTTTTTGTTACTGGTGAGCTCTTCTGTACATGCACAAACTCACTCAAGTAAACTGTAACCCCATTTGAAGTATCAGACCAAACTGGAAACCCTTTTAGGGAAATGTAATTTTGTGTATAAAGTGTTACCACTTGAGCATATATGATTTTATTTTTCCTCTTTTCTATCTTTGTAATCCTTGTTTACATAGGGGGCAACAAGATATGATTCTCAGCCATTGATCCACACATTTTTGGTGAAACATATGAGAACATGGCAATTGCCTCACTTCTTCTCTATCTTTGTATTTGGTCAAGCAAATGCAACATTCCTGTCATCACACACAAAATAGAAAGGACAAACCCATCAGTATACAAATGGATATAGTAGAAGTGCTAAAAATCTGCAGGTCATTTGGTAAATTTCCATCTTTATTATGATATCTTAAATACTGGCAAAGATTAAATACCTAACTACTTTCACATGTTAAGTTTCAATATGGTATGAAGAATTAGATTTTGAGCCCCATGAATCGCACAGGACCCAAAGAAAGGAACAACACTGTTTATGACGTGCAACGGTGCAATGTAATATAGATTTTGTGGCTGTGGATAGAGTGATAGCAGAGGATCAAAGGACTTGGAATTACATGAACTAACAGGATGGACGATATGCTGTGCCAACAAGATACTGATCTAGTTTGATAGCTAGTAATAAGAAGTTAAGAACATTGACAAAGTGTATTTGAAGTACTGAATATAAAAATCTTAATCCTGTGGTATATGATGCATTAATATTTATATCAGTATTGAAGATCCCACCAGCATGCTAAATGGCTAACATAAATTGAATATGATCATTAACAAATAAAGATGCTTCATCCTTGACAGGTGACTCAGACTAGTTCAGCCATTTATGGGATAGGATCTCCATGTTAAAAACTTAAAATGTCCGTATTTGAAATTTGTGAGTGTACAAGTTAGTCTTAAGAAAATAATCATCTCCTAATTAATCATTCATGTTGGAGTTTCAATCACTCAACAAAAGAACTAATACAGACCAAGTTTGTATTTTCAGAGACTAACCCACAATTATTAAAGTTCTGGGAACTAAAAGTTAAATGGGCGTAGTCACTCAAATATATATATATGTATATATGATGAGTTTCCTATATCGTGATACATTTTACTACGACATTCAAGATTATTTTGCATAGATTGAATCTAACTGTTAAAAAAATGCTTCAGCCTTAAGTGGTTTAGCTACTTACAGGATCTTCATTGACCAGCCCTTCACTGGCTGCAGAATCATGGCCATTCTCCAACTTGTTATGAACTTGCTTGTATCTCCAACTTGGAAGCTGTGAGATTTGATCATCAGAAGCTCCCTTATCAGAAGATGCCATGTTCATGTTGTAACCGAGGAGGCTGCTGATTAGAGGCACACAGCAGCAGAGCAGGAGGAATAGAAGGAAAGGGAAAGAGTAGGTTATGGCATTCCATGCAAGCAAGGCGATGCAGAGCACATGCAGTTTTGGAGCACTTTGAAATGACCCAAAACGTGAGTCAAAAACCCAAACATTTCCCATGACAAACCATATGGCGAAGAAAAGCTCCAGTGAAGTCCTGCATTTGTTCATCAAATGTGAACACCTGCATCAGAATTGCAGACTTCAGTTTCAAGTTGAACTATAAATATTGCATGGTTAAAAAGAAAGAGGATATTGAGTAAAAATATATTTATATAATCCCAAGTTAAGAGAGAACTTGACCGATGGTTATAAAACTTGCAAGATGATATAAATTTGTTTAACCATATCTATTTTTGTTGTTCAAATTTGGATCGATAGGCAACTCATGTTTTATGACAACTTAAAATGCTGATAAAAGAGTTAAAGGTGTACTTCCTCATATATTTATTACGAGGATTTAACATGTGTGCCATCAACTGAATAGATCAACTCATTTAAAAGAGCTCTTATTGGTGTCTGATGGAGACTTGGTAATATAGGATACCAAATGCCACATTGAGTATGATGAAATGCTCAATGAGGTATGTGTAAGTACTATAACCTGTGAGCTCATTTTAATCGATAACATTAAAATAACCATACACCCACCCTTTAGTTCTTTGTTTCTAAAGAGAAATCATGAAAATTCGACCAAAAGAGAAATCACTAAAATTCAATCAAACCAAGATGTATCAGTTATGACAAAATTAAAGTTCTTTTTTTGGGGCCAACATGAAAAGTTTAATTCATAGGAAGATGAAAAAGTTTATTTAAAGAAAGATTGTCCTTTTCAAACCCAAAAGCACCTATGAAAACAATATACTCCTTCCCATGCTTATTATAAGGAATCCTGCATAATTCATATATAAGACATTTTGTATAAAGTATTAATTTTTGCCACTTGGTATCCTTAACTAATTATAAAACTTCATAGCTAACTAACTGAACTTCTCTAACTAATGACTTCTATTGAGAGTAATTTTGATATTTTACAAAAAAAAGAAGCTAATCTTAACTAACTACATTAATTTATATAACTTTGTTGTTAGGTACTCGTAATAAGTACCGAAGGTGGTACGAAGTTTTAGATAAGCATAAGGGAATACCTGGTTTCTTCATTGCCTCTCTGCTGTTCCATATCAGAGAGGCTAAGAGCATCTCCATGAGACAAATAAAGCTGACGATAGCGGCCATAAAGCAGCAGCAGATTGAGCAGACAGCCAATATCATAACCAGAAATCCATATCCTCATAGGCCAAACAGGTCTCTCCCTCTTAGAAATGGACAAAACCAAGGTTGTGAGGGTTATCTGGACCATCAGAGCAATCAACTCTAATGTCATCCATGTGCTGGAATTGAAAGGATTGGAGCCAAGGTCAGACCTTGATCCATTTTGGTAATGGAAAACTCTTCTTAAGAAGGTGAACCATCTTGCTCTGGATATTCTCATGGCCATCCGAATTAAAAAGGAAGGCCTTGAATTATGAGAAGACCTGTTTCTGGCACTAGCCAGTCTATCTTCTCTTGATGCAGAGTTTGAAGCAAAAATCAAGATCCCGGAATTCATCTCAAAGTGTTATTTTGGAATCAAGCTGAAAAGTTTCTAAAGCATGAACAGAAGACGCCCTTTTTTGCCTATATCAGATAAACACTCTTACAGAATTCTATATGTTAAAAATAGCATGAAGGATTGCAGATAACCAACTTTCTTGTGAGTCTGATAAATTGACAATTATACGAAAAGCTTTGATGGGTTTGTGACTTCAATACCGTCTGAGAATTTGTGAACATATTAGGACCGACTCCCATATGCTTCAGAACTCCGCAATAAGCCAGAACTTCATACCATGAAAACTTGAACTTCAAGAACTTCCTGGGTCTGAAGTCTCAGCAATAAAACCCGGCTGATTTTGAAATCCCAGAGCACGAACGTTTCAGCAAACACTTCGCCAGCAAAATCCTTAGAGGTAATAATAAACTCTAGGAAGGAATTCTATGGACAGAGCTGAATAAGAAGAAGACGAAGAAGAAGGAGCACAAAAGCTATAATTTTATATCATGAAACTTGCTTAAAACCTCAGCAATAAAACCCAGCTGATCTTGAAGGCCAAGAGGATGGAACTTTCAGCAAACACATACAGAGCAGAAAGCTTCAACCAGAGATGAGAAATTCAAGTGGGGCTCCACTGATGAAGCTGAATATGAAGAATAAGAGAGACCTAAAGTGTTTATAGGAGGACGAGAAACAGAGGATGAAGAAAAGATTGGTATGAAGGACGTGTCAGGAAGGTGAGGTTGGGTTTCAGATGGTGACCAATAATCAACTGCTGTTTTGCTAAGCTTTGCTTTGATTCCAAGGGAATCTACAACGTTTGGAGGGAAGTTAACCGTTGGCCAAACTTCCTCAGGCTTTATATATACACACACGCATAAATATATTTTATCAAAGTGAGCCAAACGGAAGAAAGCAACTGTCTGCTGATCTGCTCGCCAATCTCTTAACTTCCCCTCTCTCTCTCCCTTTCTCCCTCTCCTCTCAAAAACATTGAGACAGCCTCATGTTTTTTTCCCCTTTCCCACTCTATAAATGTAGATGACCTGTTGGTCTCGCTTTGAATTTAAGTAGATAAGACTTAAAGTACTGATATTTGTTTTTGTTAAAATCATGACCAATAGAAGAAGTGTTTGTTTGCGCAGAAAATTGACCCAGAAAATAAAAAGAAACTGGGATTTGAATTCTGGCGGGTACAGTAGCTGATGATTGTGGGTTATGTGGCAAAGGGGTTGGCCACCTAATCCAATTTTCAGATCGTATCAGGTTGGAGGAAGGTGGTCATCGTTATGTCTCCCAGCGATGGCTACCAATTTTCCTTTTTTTGAAGGGCATATATAGCCCACACCAATATATTTCTTCTGTGGGGTACATCATCTTTTCATTTATGACAAGTGTTTAATAAAGACAAGAAATTCTGGATAATTAATTTATTTTGTATGATTGGAGTTAATCATAATATGAATTTGTGTTATTATTACTTTAAAACACAAACACAAACGTAATAGCTCAGTAACTTAATCTTCTGAGCATTTGGTGAGATATGGTTACTCATGTCCAACTTGGTCCTCCCCAAAAAAAAAAAAAAAATTCCTCTATGATATTTATAAAGATGAGAGAAATCTATTTATAAGTCATATCATTAATTTTTTTTCATATAAATTTTTAATTTTATGTTTTATTTATTATTATATTGATTTCATACTCACAAGATATAATATATATTATTTCTGTATAAATTAGATCTTATATTTAGAATCAAATCTCATATTAAATAGGGGATGAAGTCAAAAAATTATCAAATTTTAGAGCAGAGCTAATAAAATTTACAAATTTTTTATTTATATAAAACATGTTAGTTGGCAAAAATAATGGAACATATTAAAAATAGCTTAGAAATCATGCTACAGAGAAGTATGTTTAAATAGTAATAATAATAATTTTAAATAAATAAGGGGAAATATTATGTAATTATGAATGGACAATAAATGGGGATTCTTCTCGTAATCGCCAAAATGAAGATTGTGTGGAGGATGAAGCAAGCTGTAGAGGTCAACGTCCCTTAATTAATGGAAGGGAAAGGAGGCCTAACTGAAAATGGACATCTTGCTGATCAAACATTGTAGTTCAACTTTTATTCAACATTTGCCACTTAATATAAAAATATAAAAATTAGTTTATTAATTAAAGTAGATTAAAAAAATTAATTAAATCAATTATTTATAATAAATAGGTATTTTATTAAAAAGTACGTTTAATAATCATATTCATTAGCTAGAACTACGATTTGATAAAACTTTTAACATATGTAACTATTATAAAAATTACCTTGGAAAAAATAGATATGTATAAGGAAGAAAGTACATTTTGGTCTTATATTTATAATCAAATTAAATGCCAAACTAACTTTTATATTAAAGACAGGAGACAGTATTAAAACTTATTCAACCTTTCTCTCTTGTCATATATGCTACTTCCAATCTTTTTACAAGACACTTAAAAAAGATAGAGAGATTTTTAATCAATTTTTATGACACTATAAAAATACTTTTTCACTTCTCAAAGGATCAGTTTAACAAGGATGAAGCTGATTTTTTTTTTTCATCCTGAGCATCTTGTTCTTCAACCACAATTCTATATCTTCATCTTCGTTGATCATTAGAACAGTCTACAAGTGTTCTAACATCTTCACATCCTTTTTTCTTGTTAGGACAATATAAATAAAATTAAAAAGGGTAAGTCTTTCCATAATTTGATGAAAATATTGAAATTAACTTATAAAAAGAAACTAGGGACGATATATATATTGATAATTTAATTGGCTAGAATACTTTTATCTAGGGCTGCACAACGGACAGACCGGACCAAACCAAACTCAACCCAAAGCCTGGTTTAATTTTTGGTCAGGCTAGGTTTGGCAGTCTGTAATCTGGTCTAGTCCAGTGGTGACCTGAGGTCATTTGGACTGGATTTAATCCACCAAACTAGTGGACAAGTTTAGGTAGTCCAGGTTTCAATTTTTTTTTTAAACTTTTTTTATGGGAAGTAAGATTTCAATATGATAAATATAATTTAAGACATTTAAAAAATACCTATAATCACATAAAACTCATTTTAAAATATTAAGACTTCATCATAAATACATAAAAATTTCTTAAAAAAATAAAAAATTAAAGGTAATATCTAAATTACAAATTATTGAAAAATAAGAATTCACCTTGACTGGACCAGACCAATCCAGGTAGTCTGATCACTTGGTTTGAAACCCAGTCCAGCCCGACCAACTAGTCTGGTCTAATCTGGTCTAATTTCATTATATAGTTTATTTGAAGTGGATGGACAGAACCGGACCACTTCAAGTTGGACCGGATTGACCAAATTATCGGGTTTTTGTACACCCCTACTTTTATCATTGAATTTTATATAAAATAATATGAGGAAAAGAATTTTGTATATTAAAAAATATAGTTAAAAGTAGTTAATGACTTAAACTATTTTAAAACTTACATGCTGTTTTCTGGTCTACCCTTATTCAAGCTTTCTTGATTTAACGAGAAAACGTACCTTTTTATGTTTATGATACTGCAATTCCAATGACCCTATTTAATTCCAAAAATACTTTTTATGGAAATTGAAATTAAGTATTTATTAATCTAATCATAATTTTAATTTATAGTGATTATTTTATTGTATTTTATTATTAACTGATATTTTTACCCAATATTAATTAATCAAAAATTTAAAAAACCATTTTTGACCTTTATATTAAAGGTATTTTTTTATATGGTTGTCTGATTGGTTGGATTTGATCATTGGCAGGCCTAAGTAAGAGGATCTCTTCCAAAGACATTTTAAACATTCACACGGATTCAAACTTGAGAGCTCATGTTTAAGCAGTCAAAACTCAAAACCCCTTTCACCAAGACCAATGCTTCTTAGTTGTAATAAAGGTATTACAATTGACTCACTATTTTATCATATATATCCTTCATCATATTATAAATAAAAAGCTAATCAATTTTTTTATCATATTATTCCGAACATAATTATATATGTGCTGCAACCATATCAAATACTCTTCTGATTCTTAATATAAGACATAATTATTAAATTAATTTTGATTCTAAATATATGACCTATTTCTCATATTTATTAATTTTTTCTAAATTACTCTTATGAATACTTTCTCAACCATGATCAAGTAAGTGAGGGGAGGAAGGATATTAAGAAAGATGATTATGTCAGACAAAAAAAACAAAGAAACATGATTATGGTATTTTAGAAAAAAAATCATATTTCTTATAATTAACTAACTTACCTAACTTTCTTAATCTAATCAAATTAGTTAAATAGATCTTATATTAAAGACCGAAGGAGAGTGTGTGTGTATTTTTTTCAGATGTCATTTTCAATGGGCAAACGGGTCCTCTAGATGGTGCTTAGTTACATTAGAAATTTACAAAGATGGAAGCTCCTGGGAGCCTCGCTTTTTCCTTGGGCGGTTGGACTTCTAATAAAGCGGCCCGTGGAATCAATTCAGGTTTAAGAAACTATAATCCAAACATTTATTAACTTCTCATATTCCTCCACGGCATAATGTTGCTCATTAATTCTACCCCAAAAATCAATGATCATTATGACAATAACAGGATATCAAATTTTTTCTACCATATAAATTTTAATGGTTGAATAATTACATAAAATTTCCCTAAATTTAGCATCATCTATAAAAGCCTCATTAACTTTTAAAACTTAATAATCAATCTCCTAAATTTTTAAATCTATGTAGATAACCTCAAACTAGTCAATTTTATGCCCCCTTTTAAACTTTAGTTTTGTATACATATAAGCACAATCGCTTAAACTTTGAGTTATATGTAAATAAAATTCTTAAACTTTAAGCTATCCGCAGATAAATAATGAATAAAATTAATAGTGTGAGAATTACCTACGTAAACATAGAAATTGAGGAGATTTATTATAAAATTTAAATGTCAGGGAAGTTATTATGGTATTTTTTTAGTGGGCAGTATTTATTATGATACTGACATACAACTTAAGAAGGTTTTGTATAATTTAATCATTTTAATGAGCATGATTTCTGATAGAATATTTTTATTAGTGTTAAAATTGAGTTAAAGTTTATGTTTTAAAATAGAGGAAAGGTGATAAAATCAAAGGAAAGTTAATCTATTTACTTTATAAATTTTTAAGGAGCATTAGTTTTTATAAATTATAAATAATGATGTTAACCTCAAGCTGCATGTAAGACCTTTTTTTTTCTTTTGGCGAGTAATGTACCACTTTGTTTATAAATATAAGTTATTCGTAGGAAAAAGTTTTGGTTCCAAATGTCACTATAATATATTTACTGTTTGTTTTTCAATTTTAACATTATCTAATTCTTATAGGAAAGAGATAAATGAGAGATATGAGAATGATTGGTAAATTAAAAAAAAAAACTTTGAAAATTTTGTTAATTTAATGTATGTTTTAGTATGCAAGAACATATTATAAGTGATTTATATTAAAAATCAGAACGGTAACATCTAAAACATTCATATATCATATATTACATGCTGCATTATTTTTAACATAAACTCTCCTTTGATAACTAATGAAAAAGAAACTTGCGGTTTTATAGGCCAAATGACACCAAACATCTTTTAAGATTTTCATAAAAATGAAGTTATAAGTTAAAATTTTGTAAAGGGCATAAAAAGTGTGTGAGTCATGATAAAACGACTTAAAAAATTAGTTTATATTTATTTTCATTCAAGTTATGAATTTATTTGATCCACTAAATCAATTAAACATGCATATAATTACCATTTGACATTTTAACTTGAATTCATTTTACTGGTCAAAGACTGTTGAATTCATTTAAATCATGCATGTTTATTTTGTTCCTTTCTTTTTTTTACCCAAAAAATTGATCTGAATTGGATTTGAAGGTTATTATTATTTAACTATTTAAGGATAGATCTCAACTGAGAAAAAAAAA